TATGAATCAGAAAAGTTTCGAAAGTCCACCATCATCAGGCAATTCTAGAGAATTTTTCAAACTTGACTTTTTCCACTATAACAAAGTACATTTCCGCACTGTTCCCATAGACAACAAATTTCTTCCAAGTGAAGCCAAATGCCAGATTGAGTGTTATTTCAGTAGAAAAAGAACAGTTTATTCTGTTAAACTGTTATCAGAAATTGCAAAAACAATCCGAAATTTGTGATTTACTGGCATTAGCAGAGCTAGAAAAATTTCCGCATTTCCGCTCAGAAGATTATTAATTTCCTCCAATTGAAGAATGATACGAACTGGCGCGTCACTGCGTTGGAAGGAGAAAAAATTGCGCTTAAAATTCTGAAAATCTGGCAAAAAAATCGTCATTAGGAATTTCCAGAAGATTTTTTGAACCTTCGCCACTTTGCGACTCAACAAGCTTTCAAGCGCATTTTCGCAGTGTTTTCGAAGACAATTAATTTCTTCTAAATGAAGCGAGATGACAACTTGCAAGTTCTTAGGTTGAAAGAAGAAAGGATTGCGCTCAAAATTTGGAAAATTTCGAAATTAAATCATCATCACAAATTTCTATAGGAATTTTTAAACTCTTGCCGCTGTTGGCTTCAATAAGCTTTCAGGCGCATTTTCGCAGCGCTTCCGAAGACAATTATTTTCTTCCAACTGAAGAGAGATACGAACTGGTGTAATATCGCTTTGGCAGGAAAAAGGACGGTTCTAAAAATTGTGAAAATTTCGAAAAAAAATCATTTTCAACAGTTCATAGAAGACCGTTTAAACTTTTACCTGTTTTGGCTTCGAGAAGCTTTTGAGCTCATTTGGACAGTGTTTTCGAAGACAGTCAATTTCTTCTAAATGAAGACAGATTACAATGTGCGCGTTATTGGGTTGAAAGGAGAAAAGTTTGCACTCAAAATTGTGAAAATTTCGAAACAAAATCATCATCACGAATTTCTAAAAAAAATTTTTAACTTTTATGGTTTTTGGTTTCAACAAGCTTTCAAGCGCATTATCGCAGTACTTCCGAAGAAAATTATTTTCTTCCAAATGAAGAGAGATACGAACTGGTGTGTTATCGCGTTGGAAGGAAAAAGAAATGCTTTAAAAATTAGGAAAATTTACAAAAAAAATTATGCTCAGCAGTTTCTAGAAGAACTTTGACACTTTTGCTGCTTTTGGCTTCAAAAAGCTTTCGAGCTCATTTTCGAACATCGTTAATTTCTTCTAAATGAAGAGAGATTACAAAGTGCGCGTTATTGGGTTGAAAGGAGAACAGTTTGCACTCAAAATTGTGAAAATTTCGAAATAAAATCATCAGCAGGAACTTCTCGAAATTTTTTTAAACTTTTGCGGCTTTTCGCTTCAACAAGTTTTCAGGCTCATTTTGGCAGCGTTTTTAAAACAGTCAATTTCTTCTAAATGAAAAAAGAACAAAACTTGCGCTTTATTGAATCGGAAAGAGAAAAGATTGCGCTCCACGTTGTGAAAATTTCGAAATAAAATCATCATCAGGAATTTCTCGGCGAGTTTTTAAACTTTTGCCGCTCTTGGCTTCAAGAAGTATTCGAGCTCATTTTCGCAGTGTTTTCGAAGACAATCAATTTCTTCCAAACGAAGAGAGACGCAAAATTGGGCGTCACCGCGTTGGAAGGACAAAATATCGCGCAAGAAATGGTGAAAGTTTCGAAACAAAACCATCATCAGGAATTTCTGGAAGAATTTTTAAACTTTTGCCGCTTTTGGCTTCAACAATATTTTAGGCGCATTTTCGCAGTCCTTTCGAAGACAATCAACTTCTTCTAAATGAAGAGAGCTGGAAACTTGCGCGCTAATACATTGAAAGAAGAAAATATTGCGCTCAAAATGGTGAAAATTTCGAAACAAACTCATCGTCAGGAATTTCTAGGAAATGTTTTTAAACCTTTGCCGCTTTTGGTTTCAACAAGCTTTCAGGCGCATTTTCAAAAATCGTCAATTTCTTCTAAATGAAGAGAGATTACGAAGTGCGCGTTATTGGGTTGAAAGGAGAACAGTTTGCACTCAAAATTGTGAAAATTTCGAAATAAAATCATCAGCAGGAACTTCTCGA